TTGTTAAATTTATTGCTAATGCAATCATATGGCACACTGACCTCTGAGGAAATTTTAAATGGCACTCGCCATCAGAAAGGTTGCCGACCCCTGCTGTAGAAAGTAAAGAGTGAAATCCAGATCAGAGTAGCTGAATCAGGCCTGAGGAGCTGAGGGAGGTGACGGGCTGCAGAGTGAATGCCGCCTCTTTATCGTGGTTAGTGAAGAGCCGTGCAGAATATTTTGGCTGTTGGCAACTTGGTCTGTCACAGATCAAGAGGCAACTCTGACTGAGAAACCAAAGGTCATCATATGTTCTTACATTAGGGACTTTTCAGTCACATGGTTGACCCAGCCTGAGGCATGCTCTGCATTTAAGCCTCCCTTCTAACCAACTGGGGCAGTCGTTTCCAAAATGAACATGTTATATTCAATGAGACTTGAAAGTAATAAGTGAAAGCACCTTTTTTCAGAAATCCCGTGTGAAATGTGATTTTTTGTTTTGCTTATGTAGTGTTGTAAACTGACCCTTCTGTGCTTAAAACATTCCAATGTTAAAAATGTAAACAAATACTATAAATACATCAATCTGAAAGCACATTAGTCTCAAATAACATGAACACTTCGTAAAGATGAATTATGTACACAGCCTGAATACTGAATAAGTGAGGGTTTCACATTTACACACATAATGCACATCTTCCACTGTACGCCTGGCTAACTGTCTAACAATTACTGTCAACTCTGTGTGGTTTAAAAGATTTCCATGTTTGTGTCAGTGAAAGCAAACACACTAAAAGTCCTACAAGTTGGACCGTATTAGAGGATGTGCAGCAAGAGCTGTTTATACAGTAATGTAAGGGCTCACAGAGGCGCAGGCAACGACAGCTAGTGACAACCTGTGATTCTGCTTAGTGTGATCTGTATAATCATGAGACCACACTGGAAAATTAGCATCTAGCACGCAGAGACCGCAGAGTCGAGGGCCATTATGTGATTGCAGGTTTTGTGACTTCCTTCTCACTCATCACGTGTGCTGCAACAAAAACATTCAGAGTCTAAACCTAAGAAAAAGTAGCGCCACAATGTAAAAACGGCACCGTTTACAAGGGAGGACTGTATCCTAAAATTGAAGAAGGCCCTGTCTCAGAATTTCATGAAAGTATTTTATGCTTATTTCGAGCTGTATGCTTTTATTTTTGGAATTTGCTAGAATAGCTTTATTGGAAACCATGCTTATTTATTTTATAATAAATAGTTACTCCTCTGCCTGAAACTAGCCGTTTCACAAATACGTAATCGATTTGATCAGTTTCCCCCTCTACATTCTGTATGCATATGCCAGTTTTTACATGCATACACAACGTATAAAAGGTAAACTTGATGTGACAGTGTTCTGAGTTAAGCTCTTAAATAAATAAATAAATAAATAATGTTTACCAGCACAATCAATGTACAGTTCATTGCCCCATTCTTTATAGCTTACTTTACAGAGTACAATGAAAACCTAATGAAATGATTTTATTATATATTGTTTTCTTTCATTGTTTAATGATCAAATTACTAACAAAAATGTTGCATTGCTTACTTTAGGTTGAGTATGCAAAAACCTAAAGAAGACTACAGTTACAGAAATGATTTATCCTTAATTACTGGACACCTGCTGTTGAATTTCATCTGAACAGAAAATTAAACAGTCTCAATCAAAGGTGTCAAACATTAGGCCTGGGGCCCAGAATCAGCCCGGCACAGACTCCAATTAGGCCCAATGGACAGTTTTGGACAATATGAAGGAGTGCACACATTTTGAACTGTATTTTCATATTTTTTTCCCCTCAACACAGACGCTACACTTTTTTGGTTGTTTTTTAACAACAAGTCCACAATTATTAAAAGGCTATTTTATTGTGAATTAACAAAACTTTCTGCTGTACAATTACAGGACAGTCTGGGTGACAAACTTTATGTAATTTTAAACATTTATGTCTTACAGCTTAAGCTGAGCTTGAGTAGTGCTGACAGATTATTTCTTCAACACAGCAGCATTTCTAGAACAGGTAGAAGAACTGAGACAACCTTGAAACGACACCACTTTTTCTTATGAAGTTATCTCAGGGACAAAATGTGTATCTAAACTCCTTTACACTGACAGAAAGAGTTTCACTGGTTTGACCCACTGGAGATTAAAATGAGTTTAAAATCCCAAGTCTAAATAAAATGTCAGAGTCTGACTGAAGCCCTTACCTTTGGGAACCTTGTAACCAGTCTCTCCGGGCTTTCTCAGGTTCCTAAGGATGTGGTCAGATTGTAGATTTATAAACCAGCCGACGAACCACAGTGCCGAGCCTGGAGACAAAAGCAAAAGCTGTTTCAGCAAGTGACTGTACTGACAAAAAGCCAGAGAGCAAAACTTTGCGTTTCTTTTTCTTTTAGCATTTCCACATTTTGATGAATACTCCTGGTTTCCTTCCGAAAGCAACCTTAAAATATCATATTTTAAGTTTTCCTGCGAATCCAACTTAGGGTCACATACAGACTTGATATTTTCCCAGCTGTAACAGGACAAAAGGTAAGGTTTTAAAAGAAGAAAGAAAAGAAAAACTGTGTTGAGAAACTGTTGTTATAAATAAAATACATATATACATACATACATGATGCTTTAGACAATGTGCACAAACTGGCGAACGACTTAACTCTGTGTAATCACTGTCATCTGTGAGGTACAGCTCTCCAAATATTCACCCACATCTATCATTTCCTGACTTTTCAAAAATAGCTCACACTCCGGCTGTGGTTCTCAGACAGAAAGAGGGCAAAGTGTACCTTTGTACCTTTGTTACCTTGTATCTCTGAGTCTCGTTGATGAGTTGATGACTGAACCTGGGGTTATTTGGCATGCAGCCACCCCACTGACAAATCTGATCATTTTACCTTTCAAAAACCTTTATGTGTGTACAAACATCAAAAACTATACATAACATCTTTCTCACTCACTTAGAAAAACTCAAATACATGTGGACGAATCACCTGATACCCACAGATCACATAGAAGGCCCACATGGGCATTCAACATGTAAAACTAGAACATCTGGGCTTCCAGTGTATACCGAAACAGAACAGCTCGTAACCATTCTACTAGATAACACAGATTTTTTTTTTGGCTGAGTAATGCCTCCAGTCTTCCCAGATGAGCTGGAGGAAGGGGTGAGTGAGGTCTTAGCTCGTCTGCTTAGGCTGCTGCCTCCGTGACCCAGATAAGCAGCAGAAAATGGGTGGATAGATACATGGCTGGACTTATCCCAGATATACTGCCACATGTGTATATGTTGCTTTATATGGGTTTTTGAAAACTGCTGGACAGTTTTCAGCACAGCACAGTGCATGTAGAGGACTATGCAATCAGCAGAGCCTGGCCTTCCCCTACTTAAAACTGATACTATGTAATCCAACTGATGCAGTCTACAGCATGGTTATTTTTAATTGCACAAGAGGATGAGAGTGCAATTGTAAAGTGGAAACTACATCCAGGATGCTTGGCTAGCCAAGAACCACAGTGAAAGCTGAGTGAATGCCGACGCCAGCCCATCAACCAGACCTTGAACTTCAACCGGTAACAAACTGATGAGCAGTCAGGCTGCAGTCTGTTTGTACAGTAAAATCACAGTGGAGATCGTTTTGAAGTCGCTGTGTTGGTTTTTATCTTTGTTTTGTGCAATACCAAGAGAAAGATGCGTCCTCATTAGGACAGAGGTTTTTGTTGGTATGTGAAACTATAGTTACAGGTTTATGTTGTTAAATGGTAATTATGAAACAATGTGTCACGGGTCATTTTACAGAGTAACATGAAAGTAATGTAACAAGTAGGATAACAAATCATCTTGAGTGCGCATGCGTCAACCATGCATGCAGCCTGTTACAGTTGCTCCTGTCTTTTCTCTTTAGTTTAACTTTTTTTCTTATTCATTTCTATGTCCTTTACTTTTTACTTAAATAAATACAGAATTTTCCTTGGGGATTAATAAAGTATTCTGATTCTGCTTCAGACAAATTACTGAATCCTGGGAGTAATTAATCAACGTACTGCATTACTTTTAATAAATGTTTTATTTGTAATATGTGTGATAATTACTTTTTTTGAGTAACGACCCCTGAGTAACGACACTGATCACAACAAAGAGGGGGAAATACCTCCAACATGGACAAACATTTGACCAGACAACATGCAATTAATTTGCATGAATTTAATGTCTTTGATATGCTGCTTAGCGATGGGGGTGATTCTCAAGGAAGATCCAGTGAGAATCGGTAAGAGAATGAATAAGGGATGGAATTGATAAGTGATATGGATATTAGCTCAATTCTTATCAATTCCCATCCCTATGTACACTTATAAAATACTAATTACACTCAGTGCAACATTTTAACTTCTGCACACAACAAAATAATTCACATTCCTGTTGCAAACAGTCAGGGAACAGGACACCTACCAATGAGGAAGCATGGATGTGTAACCCAGTATGCTGGGTACTCAGCATAGTGGCTCAGGTACCTGATCTGCATGAAGCCATTATAGCAGCAGAACACAAAGGCCAGAGCGAATGAAGCGAACGGTGTCGGTTTCCCTCCTCTGATTAAAAATGGATAAATGCAGGCTCTGCAGAAGAAGAAGAAGAAAAAACACAACAAGAACATATTATTTTGAGTGATGGCATGTTTATACTGAAATGTATTCATCTGTGCACATTTTGACATCTCCTGTATCTGAGTTGCATAATCAATCAGGCGTTTCTTTGCCCAGTTGAAGGGGTACTTAAGCAATGCTCCTTGCGCAAGCCTGCTTATAACACTGTATAAATAAATAAACGTGACTGCCCACGGTTGCTTACCTCTGGACATAGTGAAGGAAATACATGGCAATGAGGAGCTGATTAGGTAGTAAAGACGTCTTGGAAGAAGATGTCCAGAGTAGAAGACACAAAGGGAGCAGTAAGGCTGGCAGCTCCTGGACGAACCAGGCGAACCTGGCGTTAACTGGAAATCCATACTTGCTTGTTGCATACCGCCCGTAAGGAACATTTTCAAACAGCAAAGTAATAAAAGTGCAGGCTGCCATTAAAAACATGAAGTAAGCCATGCGGTCCAACATGTACAGCTCCTCTTCCTCCGAGGAGAAGAGCAGGGAGAGGAGAGCATCCATTTCGACCTCAGGGCTAATATTTAAAAATAAAACGTTCACAATTAGCTAACTATACATACCGGTTATTTCCTAGCTTGCAGTCCAGAACGCAGACAAGAGCCTGCACAGCGCATACGCTCGCGACCGATTCGGACCAATTAAGAGTTCTTGAGCGATTACGCAACCGATCCTTTCAGCCAATGAAAGCGCTCGGTCTTTGCATCAGCATGTTAGATTGGATCCGGTGGAGACTCCTGCTGGGATAGGTTTCTGAGTTCATAAAGTCGTCAGACTAAACTCTCGCGAGGTCATAACCCAGCCGGAGAGCCGTTCGTGTATGAAAATGCTTATAAAAAGTCCAATCGGGGAAAAGTCATTTATCCGTCTCCTCATCCCCTACTTGCCAAATTTATACATTAACATTTATATCGACTGTTTTGTGCAAAACTCAGCTCGGTTAAACATCTCTCGGTTTAACACACGCAAATTGTTGCTGCAGTTTATTGTTGTAATCACAGCAATTCCCAGATGAGGTTTCCTATTTAACCCATCTCTTGGGTAATAACTTTCTGCTGGGTTAATGTGACGTTGTGTTATTTACTTCAAGCCAGGGTTATGCTACAGTTTTATATTTTTCTTCTTTCCAGGCTGCCACTACTGTTCAGTTTTAATGACAAATGGTTAGTCTATCTTTCTTAATGACTCTTTCTCAAAATTGAACTATAATGTGGAGTAATGTGGAAAACAGCAACTTGTACGGTCACTTTAATACTGTTATATAAAACATTGTTTTTACTTTTCATTGCTGTTAATACAGCGTTTGTCCATATAAATTACATGTTATTGTTATGGAAATAAAAGAATAGGATGCTTTCATAAAGGGTTGTTGGTGGATAAAAAAAAAAAGAAAAGAAAAACAGATCATTTTACCTCTCTGCTTGCTGGTTGCCATGCAACGTGAAGATAATATGTTTAACTAGTGTTTTGTGTGTATAAAATTGCTGTGATGAAATAAAAAGATGCAACATTTTAAGGTGCAAAAAGTGCATAATTGCTAAAATAGGTCAATTTAACGGGTTGTTGGGTGGTTACTAGGCAGTATGATGATTCATAATATAGGACCTTTAAGGGGCCCGTTTGGTTGATCAACTCCTGATCGTGTAGGATCACTGATTATTATTATTTATTCATTTATTTATTTATTTATTCATTTATTTATTTTTTTATTTTTTAAAAACAGAAATTTGATGAAGTAGGATTAATATAACATTCAGGGCCAAATAACGAACACGTGTATGTTAAGGGAGACTTTGTTATTTTCATAGACAATTATTTGCATAAAATCCCACAATGGCACATATTACGATTATATTAAAAAAAAAACAAAAAAACCCGAGTTGGGACAATTTTTAAATAATGTGTAAAAAAGTGAAGTTTGTAGTTTCGACAATAAATATTAGTTATTTAATTTGCATAACTTACTTTAATGGGATTAATTTAGAAAAACATATTTATACAAATTCGGTCATCGTCATTCAAGCTGGAATGTAGTCATATAGTAAACAAGAAATTAGAACAATGTCTTTTATATAATTCAATTTTTATGGTTGCAAAGTTTCACGTAAACAATTTAAACTTTATTTTTGTAAAAATAATATTTCAGAAAAGTGCAGACCGGCTCGTTGAAGCGTTTCTGCTTTCTTTCAGGCAGATTTTGCGGCCACCTCAAGGGGTCCTCATTCACGTGCGTCAGAGCAGCACGTTCCGTGGATACACAGCCTGTCCATCATCAGGCGCCTTGCACGTTTACACTTTAGCTGAGCAACAGCTCTGTTTTGCTCGCGTCCAGTCACCACGTTGTTCCGCAGACTTTTCTCCAGAGTTGTCTGCTATTCCAACATGGGGAAAAGAAGCAGACAGCGGCAGAAAAACCAGAATGCTGGCAGGGACAGCAGAGACACCGCTGTAAGTAAAACTCCTGCTCCAGACAAACTAGCTAGTGTTTGTGTTTAGCCACGCCGCACATGAACGTTTAAATAAAGTAACTGCAGAAAGGAAGCGACTGCAGGGATAATTTATATCTGTTACCTTTACTGAAAGTAGCAGATATAAACTGCTGCTGGTTACCGTGCTGTTTTCAAAGCCATGTGTGACCACCATTTTCCTTTTTCTCCCCCTTTTGAACAAAGATCTGTATATCTTTATATATGTGAACAGCTTGTTGTACTATAGGCCAAATTCAGCACGACACCAGAGTTAAATGTAACAGATCGTATGGTATGTTGTTCAGGCTGTTACTCATAATTATAAGCAAGTAAAGTTTAAATTAGATTTTATCAAACAACATTCAGTGTAGCAATTTTGTCTCCTGTTAGTTTGCATGAACATATTTGTTTGTCCCAGGGCTGGGGAGCTGGGTATGCTGACATTATCAAGGAGAACAAGCTGTTTGAGAACTACTATAAGGAGCTAGGTCTGGTACCTGAGGGGGAGTTTGAACAGTTCATGGAAGCAATGAGGGAACCTCTGCCAGCAACCATCCGCATCACTGGATACAAGAGGTGAGCTGGACAGATCTACAACTTGGGCTCATGCTTAATGCCATGTAGGAGGTTGTCATTGGAATGTATGTGCCCCTTTGTAGGTTGTTCTGAACTTTTTTATGGAAATTCCACTTTTAATTACAAGGTGAAAATGCTTAATCATTAATTACATTTATAAGGAGAAATATTAGATCCCTAATGTAAATGCTACTAATTTCCTTTTCCAGCCATGCCAAGGAGATCCTTCATTGTCTGAAGGAAAAATATTTCAAGGATATTCAGGAGCTGGAAATCGATGGTCAGAAGATCGAAGCTCCGCAGCCTCTCAGCTGGTAATATATCATGTTTTCCCCAAGACTAAAAAGATTCACTGATTCAAATTAAAACCAGATTGTGGACTGTCCTCTTCAGGTACCCTGATGAGCAGGCCTGGCACACCAACATGAGCAGGAAGATCATAAGGAAGTCTCCCCTGCTGGAGAAGTTCCACCAGTTTTTGGTCAGCGAGACCGAGTCGGTGAGTCAGTCACAGTCCCAAAGATCACATTTGTGTTACCAGTGGAAGGGGGCTAAAAAAACCCAAACATGTCAGGATGTTGGTAAAGAAGTGGAGAGACTGACATTCCTTTTGTTTGTCCTCGCAGGGCAACATCAGCCGACAAGAAGCTGTCAGCATGATCC